GTGAGATTGATAATGCATTCGATCACACTCCAAGTATACATGGAATTAGTATGTATGCGTACCTTTAATAACTCTTATGAGAAGCATCCCTTCCTTTGAGAGCATGTTATATAAATAATGCAGTGTATTTTCAGCATCACGACAACGGTACAATGAATGACAGGCATGTATGACGTCATATTTATCAGATGTACCACCTTCTTCAAGATAGTCTTCCACTTCTTGAACACGAAAAATAAAGTTGACCCCATTCCATATATCTTTCTTGGATTTAGTTAACCTCTTAAATTCATCTATTGAAGCCTTAGCTGGTTCTACCACGGTGTAGTGTATTTTAGTATATTTATCCACCAACGCATTAATGAAGTGAAGATCGACATCACCTGATAAAATGAACACATTTGTATAATGTTATATTTAATTGGATAGTCCGGTATCATCCATTATGTTTCAATTATAATATTTCAGCAAATATAAGACATGTTGAATGTGTACACAATGCATAAGTGACAGTTTACTAGTATTGTAAAAAATGGAAATTTTTGTTTTATATTGCCATGTGGTACAAATAATCGCATGAAAACACTCATGTAACATACCGTTGCCGGATCCAATAGAGAGAACACGTACTTCTTTGCGGGATTCTAGATCTAGCTTACCAATCATTTTTATTGCATCTTCCTTGTAACGAAACTCCCTTGATTTCAAACCGTTATCCAACAAAGTTTGAAAACTTAAATGATATTCATCTAAATAGTTGAACAAATCCTCTGATGGTCTTGCCATTGTACTTTCCGATATAGTTATATTGGTATCACAGACAACAACTCACAATTCTCTATATATATATATATATATTCTATAACGAATATAGACAAATAAAAAATATATATAAAGGATATATTTATTATGTTGAAGTGCTTATTTACTAGACAGTAATTTAACACGTGATTAGAAGAGATTGTGTATTATATATATATTTATATTTATTTGTTCCTATTGTTATAGCATTAAGAGATATATATGCCCTTGAAATACCATTGTAACTGGGTACATGTTTTACACTTTAGCTGTATGTCGCTGGCAGTACACAGTGGACAATCTGGTACTAGTTACCAGACATAATTGCTCACCAATTTTCTACCATTAAAATATACAATTTATGTTCAATAAATCAATCACTTAATCACGTTCCAAATATTTTTTGTGAGTTCGATTCTCGTATTTCATGTTTATACGTACATATGTCTGTTATTCTGAATAAAAATTTAACGATGACCTAATTTTGTTGATTAGCCGTTGTACAAAGGATGATATACGGTGGATAGCCTATGTGCAGACATACGGCAAATTCACCTTTTCTTCATCAGATGCAAAATTAACCTCAGTTGTATCACTGGTTCCAATAATATAATTTGAAAATCAATAAACTTACGTTCAACGTGCACGTTATGCCGAGTTGGTTAAGACAGTGAGAGTTGTTCAGAGTAACGGGGTAGCCATTTAGACATCAAAATACGTGCCTGCAAAATGTCATAATTAATATTTTTGGATCGTCAAAATATGCGCATGCGTTAAAATGTATTTATAATATATACATATATTATCCCACGATAATTATTCTTAGCTTGACGTCAGCAGACACGAATGATTGCCGCCAGAATTTTGTGTCTTTCTTTGCAGTAAACAAGAATTTGTACTAATCAGACAATATTATACCATACTAGGACGCAATTCTGCTAGTTCGTAATTATATTAGCTCAAATTAGCAAGGATATTTTGTTTATTTCACCCGATTTTAGAAAAACTGAATAAAGGTTATCAAAATATACACATAACTTTCTTGCATGAACGATTTTTACCACAATCCGTAGTTATCACACCGCGTATAGAAAATGGAAGCTGCGAACAACATTGCGGAGACGCGTGCAATAAACCTTAGGTTCGGTGTGTGACATGCATCTGTCAAAACGTAAAATTATTCCTTTTGTGACAACGGAAACGTAAAAGTACGAACAATTTTATCGGGGACTACGTTGTGTAAGGTAATGTTACTGTGGTGAAATGACGCACGTGATACACAAAACAACGTTTTATTTATGTATATACGAATTATATATGGATTACCGAACCGTCACCGCTTGTCTTGTTTTCTGCTGAATATTTCGATACTGTTTTGGCTTGATTCTCCGTACCTAATAGTTGTAGTACACAAAGCTTCTAGCCGGTTTATAAAGATCGTCATTCATTGTATGTTTTAATACCTTTACAAATTTGAGAAGACTTGTCTGAAGCAAATCGTGTACATCTAAATCTAGTTAACCAAATGTTTCATTAAAACGAGTTACTGATTAAATAATTGGTGGGTATAGCATATCTGTGTTGAACGACATGGATTGTACTTCGAACATATTCGGATATGCAAATGAGCGGTATGCAATTCTGCTTCGTGTAGGAATGATGAATATAGTGCCTATCGAACTGTTTATAGTTCTCTTTGTTTGTTCTGCTTTTACATTCGAGTTCACGCATAACACGAATCTTGCAGTGAACGGAAAATAGCATATTGTGGACAAATAAAATCTCATGTTGTTTCCTTTATACTGAACTTAGAATTAAATATATTGCTAAGTCCTATCTGGATCTTTATACAAATATGTATAAATAGATATATCATTATCATTACCATTACCATGAGCTGTAATGTAACGGACCAGAATAATTGTGTAGAACCCAGGGGATACTGAAATAATATCCGTCATGGGACCAACTAGTGGCCACTGATTGGATGTTGGCTATCGCGCCCAAGCATTTATTTTGTCTAATGAAAACTGTTTGTAAAAACGTAATTTGTATTCGTGTGTTTCCAACGACCCTAGGCGTTAATACAGTAATACAATATTCAGTGGGAATTTCTCTCCAATAATTCATTTTAAAATATTTGTGTATACACATCTTGAACACACAATATTCGAGTTGAAATAAAAAGAATCATTTCTGTAGTGTGTCGTTGGTGGTGATGTTTTTGTTGAGCATTAGCGTCGATTCTTGAGAACGTTTTTGCTACTGAAAATAAGCATTTATTCGTGTCTTGTATCGAGGACTTTATAAATTGAACTTCGGTTCACGTTACAGCAATCTGGTAACCAAAACACCCCTGTAATATAATTAAACTTACTAATGTATATTCAACACAACATTCCAACTCAAACATTTAATAGAAGGTTGTATGTGCCACACCCATTTCTCATCGAACGCTCGTTGGGTGTGATACTGGTTTTAAATCTAGAATTAACGGGAATATTAGTGATCGACTCACTTATGAAGTGGCAGTGACTGACTAGATTACTGGCGTTATCGTGATCCTCACTACCTCTCTATATAAAAGTGTAGAAAGTCCTTTGGAAATCAGTGCAGTACAGACTGAATGAGTATTGGATTACACTTTATTTGGCAAAGAAAAAGCATTTTAGCTGAACTGGGAGACTACATGCCGTGACCAGTGGCGGCTGCACCCCCCCCCCCCTCTCCCGCAAATGCGCGACCACTTGCGCCTACGGGACGCAAGGGATGGTAAGCAAATCACTCGTGCGCCGCCTCTTGCGTTACTAGTACAAACATGTACTTAATCCGGGTCGGTATCCACTTCGCACTTTCTGTGACAATGCCGCCTCCCATACTCGGCTATAGTAAGGAACATGTCATGATGCTAGATGAATGCAAATTAACACTAGTTTTGCAGACAAATTCGCGCACCACGACGTCAATCAACGATTGTTTTATGTCATGTATTAGTATATCATGCATTCTATGTACATTATGTTAACGTAGGGGCATAACTAACTGAATTGCATGCTGGGAAACTCGTGACCAATCTTTAATGGAATAGCCTTTGGTTTTTTACCGTTATTTATTTTTTCATCCATATTTTTCGGAAAATGTTTAGTTGTAAGTTTAGTCGCGACAGCATGGTTCGTAGTGGTCTACTTTTTTGCAACAGAATAAATAACCATGCTTTTAATTTCTATGTAAAAAATTGCCTTACTATGATAAGCAATATCGGTTAGGCAAATCATGATTTATGACCCATATTTTTGGTTATATTTCTGACAGTACTAGTAAATTGCGCTCAATGAACACGGTTCGAAACGGTCAAGCTCGAATTTAGCGCATCACGTCCAATCAATTAGGAGTCGCGTGACCGCGCCCAGGAAACTATGAGAGCCCCCTCTATATAGTCAACCACGGTTACCTTATCGGCCTAAGCAATTTAAATCAATTTAATTATGTGAATTGGAATCACGTTCTGCTGCCGTTTTGAGTTGTATTCCTTCGACGTATAGTGTGATTGGTTCGGTTGAAATGCGAATTACGAATATTTGCAGAAAAATAAATTCATCCAGTTTCGAGTTTTCAAATGAATAATACTGAGTGAGAAGATTTGATTTTAATTTAGTTATTTTGCATGAATAATTAAATTACATAAATTGTTAGTGCCGATTTGTAACGACTATTTCCGAAATTTTCTTTATTATATATAATATAGAAGGAAGAATGGAAATATATGAAGAAAAAAAGTAATTGTCATGCAGATGTGAATAAAATATTTCCAGAGTACCTAATTCCTCCCCTACACAGTGTTACCCTGTATCCTGTATGCACGGAACTTACGCACGTCTTAAGTATGGGCGGTGTTTTCAAAGTCAGCTTGGCTGTATCGGATTCAATTATAAAAAAATGCAGCCACCCCCAATCTATGAAATGAACACATCGACGAAAAATATAATTGTTTGTAATTTGAATCAATAAATGTACGTTGCTTCTTCAATCAGTGATTTTGTACCACTTTGTGATACATTTCCAACTTTCCAATCACACTTTGTATAATTTTTATCAAAATACGCATTTTTTTTCAATCGCGTCGATCTTTACAGGTGTCTTTTATATGTTGAATGGCAATTGAGATTTAAAATAAACGGTGTTGATTGGTCGATTTGTATGTCCGTCACGCAGCGGCCCAATCAGGACACATCTTCCAGCAGCTTTGGTGGAGTCGGAGGTGGCCGGTCTCACTGCGAGCTGATATTTCTTGTTGTGGCAGTCATGACCGTGGTACCGTCTCTGTTTTCCCTGAGCAATGAGATTATCCGAACTGTGATATACGATGAAATTATGGAGAGCGAAATGACGTCCGTGGAATCTGACTACCGAAAGGTTTTCGAACCGTACACGCTGGAATATCACTACGAACTGAACTATAAACAGAAGGAGCTTCGCGTCTTTCAAGAAGTGCATTATGCTGTCAAACACATCTGCAATTCGTACTCGGACAACAATCTGCGACTGATGCCTAGCCTCGACGTCTTCTTCTCACCGATCTTCAGGTTGGCATATTTCTATCGATTTTTTGTGTCCCATGCTTACATACTGAAGATGTTTTTTCTCAAGTCATATCTACACTGTCGTACATTTCAAGATATTATGAACTCTCTCATTGATTCTCGTCATATTCGCATGTGTGCTATTGGCGGTGGTCCCGGTACCGACATTGCTGGCTTGTTCCTTTTCATCCACGCCCAGAGGCTAATTTTCCCTACAACAGCCATACTAAGCACTCGGTTGAGTTGGCAATATCGCATTCGAAATAACGCAAACTCCGCGTACCATTGGAGAGATTCTGGACCGTGGAACATTCTGCAAATGCCATCGCCGTGGAGTTTTAATTTCAACTTTGGTCGTCCAATTCCGCAAAATTATGTCTTCGGGAGCGTGTCGTCCATGTCGTT